TAACCCACTAATGGTACAAAAATCTGACGATTTTCGACCCGTCTATGGCAGGCGTAAGGCTCAGTTCACATTAGCTTTGTCAGGAAGCGTTAGACAGGCGTTTGGGAAGCATTTTTAACCCCTTGCCTACTGGGCACTTATACCCCCTTCCTGTCCCCAGGCCAATTTTCAGCTTTCAGCACTGTTGCACTTTGAATGACAATTACGCAGTCATGCAACACTGTACCCATATGAAATTTTTATAATTTTTTTTCTCACAAATAGAGTTTTCTTTTGGTAGTATTTACTCACCGCTGGGTGCTTTATTTTTTGTGCTTTAAACAAAAAAAGAGCAAAAAATTTGAAAAAAAAAAAAAGTTTTTGTTTCTATTATAAAATTTTGCAAACAAGTCATTTTTCTCCTTCACTGATGTACATTGATGAGGCGGCACTGATAGGCAGCACTGATGAGGCGGCACTGATGAGGGTACTAATAGGTGGAACTGATAGCCAGCACTAATGATGTGTACTGACTGGGCGGTACTGACTGGTGGGACTGCTGGGCACTTGAGGGCGGAACTGCTGGGCACTTGTGGGCGGAACTGCTGGGGCACTTGTGGGCGGAACTGCTGGGCACTTGTGGGCGGAACTGCTGGGCACTTGTGGGGCTTGAGGGCGGAACTGCTGGGCACTTGTGGGCGGAACTGCTGCTGTGGGCGGAACTTGTGGGCGGAACTGCTGGGCACTTGTGGGCGGAACTGCTGGGCACTTGTGGGCGGAACTGCTGGGCGGAACTGCTGGGCACTTGTGGGCGGAACTGCTGGGCACTTGTGGGCGGAACTGGTGGGTGGCACTGCTAGGCACCGATCATCAGGGCACTGATGATCGGTGCCGATCCCCGCTCTGACAACTGCCGGTTCTCAACAGTACTTTCCTCACTCTCTGACAGCGTGAGGAAAGTGCAGCTGAGAACCGGCTATTGCATTTCCTGATGATCAGCGTGTCATTGGACACGGCTGATCACGTGGTAAAAGGCCGGTGTGATTGCCCTTTTACCACATCACGTGATCAGCTGTGTCCTCAGGACACAGCGATCACGGAGATCGCCAGGTGCGCACCCCCGGGGGCGCGCAGGAGAGTGCATTCTGGGAGGACGTCATATGACGGCCTCCCAGAACTGGTTGGCCGCAGTGCAGCCGTCATTCGACTACCTGCGCTCGGCAACTGTACAACGCTCCTCAAACGCCTATGAAAATTCTACACATGGCAGCACACAGGGCTGTTCACACTGAAGCATTAGCGTCGCAGCAAAATTGACGCCTCATGTCAAGTCAGGAGGAGTGAAGTCTCCCACTCAGGTCTATGGTGACGCTCCTCAAACACCTGGCAGGCGTTTGAGGAGCATTAATACCATTAAACTTCATTCGTTTGTGGTGCGGTTTTAATGCTTGGAAAACGCCTATCAAACTGCTCAAAAACACTCAAAGGGCATTTGAGGAGCGTTAAAAAAAACTTCCCAAATGCCTGTCAAATGGCTCAAAAACGCACACAGGGCGTTTGAGGAGCATTGAAAATGCTTCCCAAACGGCTGTCAAACGCTTTAGGGGCATTTTGGGAAGAGTTAGAAATGAGTCAAGTGTGAACGAGCCTGAAGAGTCTGGTCACAACGGTGCGATCTAAGAATTGAAATCACGCCTGAAATTGCATCTAATGAATGTGAATGTCAGTGTCCTAACATGTGCGGTTTTCTGCAGCACAATTTCTAAAGTCGTTCTTGCGTGACTTTTTCTGCAGCTTTGTTGCGATTTCACATACATAGAAGAATATAATGGGAATCGCACTGCCAATGGCAAGAAATTGTTGCAAATCTTCACAAGTAGCAATAAAGTCTTAAGTAATCGCGCTGAAATTGCACACAAATTGCGTGATTTTAAATCGCAGCGATGTGACCGGTGACTAATGCACGCCATTACATTCTTCGAATTCTGAACAAATTTTCTTTATGCTGAATTTGTTGTTGCTATTCTGTCTCTCAGTGTTACAATACACCGAACATTCGATTTTTAGACCGATCATTTCTTTGTGAGGGGCGAACATTCAACATCGGCACTGTAGATCACCCAGAGGGAGATGGTTTTTTTTTCTTCACAAAACTGGAGTTATGCAGGCCATAAATGGGGAGAAAACTGGCTGTTTTTTTTAAAAAAAAAAACGAAAAATCAGTTGTTCAATAGGCCGACGTTACAACCAACAGTAAAAAAATCGGCCGATTTTCTTCCCTTCTACGGCCGGCATTTAATTACTGTCCCTGCAGAGAGCTCCGCTATTATATTTGACATTGAAAAGTATTGCGGTTGCAACAATGTATCCATTTTGGATACAGATTTTTTTTTTCCAGATACAAATAGATACATTGTTGCAACCGCAATACCTTTTCATGTCAAATATAATAGCGGACTGCAATTCTTCTTTCTCTTCTCTCTTCTTCTTTCTCTTCTTCCTCTTCTTTCTCTTTTCTTCTTCGTCTCTTTTTTCTTTCTTCTTTCTCTCTTCTTCTTTCTTCTTCTTCTTTCTCTTCTTCGTCTTCTTCTTTCTCTTCTTCTTTTCTTCTTCTTCTTTCTTCTTCTTCTTTCTCTTCTTCTCTTTCTCTTCTTCTTCTTCTTCTTCTCTTCTTTTCTCTTCTTCTTCTTCTTCTTTTCTTCTTTTCTCTTCTTCTTCTTCTTTCTCTTCTTTTCTCTTCTTCTTTCTCTTCTTCTTCCTTCTTCTTTCTCTTCTTTTTCTTCTTCTTCTGCTTCCTCTTCTTCTTCTTCTTGCTGGTCACGGCTCATGCGCAGATTTTTTATCGGTAAAAAGATCGGCCGATTTGCCCATCATTGCTGGGAAAATCGGCCAATTTTTTTCCAATTTTACCGATCAGAAAAATCTGACTAAATCCAGAAAAACGGCCGACCAATTAACCCATTAACGGTGCGAAAATCGGCCAATTGTTTTTCTTGCAGCCGTAAAATCGGCCGATTTTCGACCCATCTATGGCCTGCATTACTCTTTGACGTAGAGTGGTCTCGCCTTATAGCTGATTGAGAACTACATCCCCAACGACCCTGGCTGGAAGAGCCTGCTGGGACTTATAGTTCCCTATCTGCCAAAAGGTCTGTGCTTTGATTTCTTGTACCCTTCAGCTGGTGCAGAGCAGGTGAAACTAATTACAGAGAACATAATTTTTTAATTAGCGGAGGAAATCCAATCTCACCGGCACAGTACCCCCGCACTCCGCACCCCCGCACTCATAGCGTGTTATTGATTTCAATATAATGGGCTGTAATTTAACCACCACCAGCTGCAGCTGCTCGGCCACCTTCTGCGAAATGCGAACATCGGTCAATACTCGTTTCAGAAATAATTTAGGACAAGAATGGCTCATTCACTGCTGTCCTGTGTATTGTCAGATCATGAAAGGTACGAGCCCACTGGTGTCCGCAGAGCGCCTGCATTGTGTCTGTGACAGTTCACAATGGGGGGGGTATGCATACGGCATTTCACTTGAACCAAAATCAACCTGAGCTATACAGATTTGCACACGCAGAAAGGTTTAGTCAGGATCACCCCCGGTTCACATATTATTTTATTTTATTTATTTATTTCAGGTACTTATATAGCGCCGTCAATGTACGCAGCACTTTACATATATATTGTACATTCACATCAGTCCCTAACCCTCAAGGGGCGTACAATCTAAGGTATCAGCATTCCTGCGGGCCCCGTTTTGCGCGGGCACGAGAGCCCATTCATTTGAATGGACTCCCGTGCCCCCCGGGACACACAGGGAAGAAGTCCCTGCACTTCTTCTGAAAACCCAGCCGAGGTTCCCAGTACGGTTGCGATTTCCAGTGCGGGTGGTGTGCCTTTAGATTTAATGGCACCCGCCCGCGGGTCCGCATTCCTCTGTGCGGCTGCATGGATTTTCATGCAGCTCCACAGCGGCACCACCCGCACATATCTGAACCTAGCCTGAGGCTGCATTCACTCCTGGTTCACATCTGTCCGGGTGGTGCTGCTGCGGATCCGCACGAAAATCCATGCAGCCGCACCACCCGCACAGAGAAATGCGGACCCGCAGGCAACCATACTGGGAACCTCGGCTGCGTTTTCAGAAGTGCATGGACTTATTCCCTGCATGTCATGGGCACTGGAGTCCATTCAAATGAATGGGCTCTCATGCCCATGCAAAATGCGTCCTGCAATGTTGCATAGATGTGAACCAGGGGGTCACTCCGGGGCGGAGCAATTTTCAGACATTTTAATTTTGAGGGTTTTCGTATTATTATACAGGATTTATATTATACATATTATATATATTATCATATAGAAGTATATTACATGCGTTTTGGTTCAGGGGGTTTTGCTTAACCACTTGCCTACCAGGCACTTATACCCCCTTCCTTACCAGGCCAATTTTCAGCTTTCAGCGCTGCCGCACTTTGATTGACAATTGCCCGGTCATGCAACATTGTACCCATATGAAATTTTGATCATTTTTTTCTCACAAATAGAGCTTTCTTTTGGTGGTATTTAATCGCCACTGGGCGCTTTACTTTTTGCGCTATAAATTAAAAAAAGTGCAAAAAATTTGAAAAAAAAAAAAAAAAGTTTATTTGTTTCTTTTATAAAATTTTTCAAACAGGTATTTTTTCTCCTTCACTGATGTGCGTTGATGAGGCGGCACTGATGGGCACTGATAGGCGGCACTGATGGGCACTGATAGGCAGCACTAAAGGGCACTGATAGGCAGTACTAATGAGGTGGCACGGATAGGCGGCACTGATAGACAGCACTAATTAGGGGTCACGGATAGGCGGCACTGATATGCAGCACTGATAGGTGACACTGATGATGGGTACTGATAGACGGCACTGACTGGCATCACTTCTGGGCACTGACTGGCACAACCCCTGGGCACTGACTGGTGGCACTGACTGGCAGCACTGCTGGGCTGCACTGGTGGGTGGGCACAGGTGGGCAGCACTGGTGGGGCACTGGTGGGCACAGGTGGGTGGCACTGGTGGGCACAGGTGGGTGGCACAGGTGGGTGGAACTGCTGGGCACTGTGGCACATGTAGGTGGCACTGCAGAGTGGCACAGGTGGGTGCACTGCTGGGCACAGGTGGGGGCACTGCTGGGCACAGGTGGGGGCACTGCTGGGAACGGGTGGGCGGGGCTAGTGGGCGCACTGCTGGGCGGAACTTGCGGGTGTCACTGCTGGGCACCGATCATCAGGGCACTTATCATCAGTGCCCTGATGATCGGTGCCGATCCCCGCTCTGACAACTGCCGGTTCTAGGCAGTACTTTCCTCACGATCTGACAGCGTGAGGAAAGTGCAGCCGAGAACCGGCACTTGCATTTCCCTGTGATCAGCGTGTCATTGGACACCGCTGATCACGTGGTAAAAGGCCGGTGGGATCGGCCTTTCACCACATCACGTGATCAGCTGTGTCCGTAGGACACAGCGATCACGGAGATCGCTGGGTGCGCGCCCCCTGGGGCGCGCAGGAGAGCGCGTTCTGGGAGGACGTCATATGACGTCCACTCAGAACTGGCCGGCCGCGGTGAAGCCGTCATTCGGCTATGCGCGGTCGGCAAGAAGTTAAGCAATAGCAAGCATTAGAGGTGGAGAGCCGCTGTTTGAGCAGAAAATGTGCAACAAAACACTCGTGTCACAAATTTTCATTGAAGTCTGTCGGACCCAATCTACCAAAAAAGAAGCTCATGTACTTTTTCGAGTAAAAACCATTTTGCTGGAGGCAACAGGACCCTCAGATGTGAACAGGGGCCATTGAAATGAATGGGATTTGCCTTGTTGAGCGTTTTAGGGGTTTAGGGCTCATTCACACTAGAATGTGGTGCGGGAGAGCCGCGTTCCTGTGCAGCTTCCCAGACCACATTCCGATCACAATGCCCTAGCGGGATCACTTAAAGTTATTAACACCCCGAACACAAATCTCAAACGGATTGCGTTTGCCCGCACCAAACCACATGGTACAAAGTACCATGCGGTGTGGTTGCCGTGCGTTTAACAAAAGTAGCACGTGCGCTACTTTTAGAGCGGTGCAATTTCATCCCATTCAAAGGAAGAGCATGAAAACGCACTGCATAAACCTGCATATGAATTGCACAGGACCGCGCAACACATTCCTGCTTGGGCAGCACAGTGGCTAAATGGTTAGCATTTACGCCTGGCAGTACTAGGGTCGCTGGTTCGAATCCCAACCATGGCACCACCTGCATGGAGTTTCCATGTTCTCCCTGTGCCTGCGTGGGTTTCCTCTGGGTACTCCGTTTCCTCCCACACCCCAAAGACATGCTGGTAGGTTAATTGGCTCCTGTCTAAATTGCTCCAACTATGTGTATGTATGAATGTAAGTTAGGGACCTTAGATTGTACGCCCCTTGAGGGTTAGGGACTGATGTGAATGTACAATATATATGTAAAGCGCTGAGTAAATTGACAGCGCTATAAAAGTACCTGAAATAAATTCATATCAGGGCATAGTGTGAACAGGCCCATAAAGTGTTTGTAAAGGTTCAATTTTTTTTTAAATAACAAAAATGTCATACTTACCTGCTCGGTGTAATGGTGGTTTTGCACAGAGCAGCCCCAAGCCGCCTCTTCTTGGGTCCCCTGTTGGCGCGCCTGGTCCCTCCCCTCTGCTGAGTGCCCCCAAGCTGCTTGCTCTAGAGGCACTCGTGCGTGTGCTCGCTCCCGACATCCTCTTGTGTGTCTATAAGACACAGCACGCGGCTTGGCCCCACCCCTCACTTGCTGTGATTGGCAACAGCTGGAGCCAATGGTTGGGGGATCACTGTAGCTAACTTATCTAGAACCAGTGTGGGAAGCACTCAAGTCCTGAGAAGTACTTGAATGGTCACTTCCAGGCTGTGATGTCTGATCCAGTAGGGTTTATTTACTAAAACTGGTTCACTCAGAATCTCGCGCACTTCTGCATGGAAACCAATCAGCTTCCAGCTTTTATTGCTAAAGCTTAATTGAGCAAGCTGAAGTTAGAAGCTGATTGGCTGCCATGCACAGCTGCGCCAGATTCTGAGTGAACCAGTTTTAGTAAATCCCCCCCAATAAGACCAAGCTTTGAGACTGAGGACAACGCTAGAGTGTAGTTGCAAGAAACTGAAGAGGCCTCATGTAGCTGCATAATAAAGTCATTTTTATTGAAATGGGAACATGTTGCTAGAAAGAAAAGGTTAGGTCTTAAATCGTCCTTCATTTATCCTTCTAGGACAGGGGTCTCCAAACTTTTTAAGCAAAGGGCCAGTTTACTGTCCTTCAGACTTAAGTTGGGCTTGACTGTGGCCAGTGGGGGTAGAAAAGGCCCCAACATCAGTGGAATAAACAATGCCCCATTTTTCATGTTAGTGGGAGGAACAGTGCCCCATCAATGGGTGTCAGTGTGAGGAATTGTGCCCCATCAATGGGTGTCAGTGGGAGGAACAGTGCCCCATCAATGGGTGTCAGTGTGAGGAATTGTGCCCCATCAATAGGTGTCAGTGGGAGGAATAGTGCCCCATCAATGGGTGTCAGTAGAAAGAACAGTGCCCCATCAATGGGTGTCAGGGGAGGAATTGTGCCCCATCAATGGGTGTCAGTGTGAGGAATTGTGCCCCATCAATGGGTGTCAGTGGGAGGAATAGTGCCCCATCAATGGGTGTCAGTAGAAAGAACAGTGCCCCATCAATGGGTGTCAGGGGAGGAATTGTGCCCCATCAATGGGTGTCAGGGGGAGGAATTGTGCTCCATCAATGGGTGTCAGTGGGAGGAATTGTGCCCCATCAATGGGTGTCAGTGGGAGGAACTGTGCCCCATCAATAGGTGTCAGTGGGAGGAATAGTGCCCCATCAATGGGTGTCAGTAGAAAGAATTGTGCCCCATCAATGGGTGTCAGTGGGAGGAATTGTGCCCCATCATTGGTGTCAGTGGGCAGGAACTGTGCCCCATCAATAGGTGTCAGTGGGAGGAATAGTGCCCCATCAATGGGTATCAGTGGGAGGAATTGTGCCCCATCATGGGTATCAGTGGCAGGAATAGTGCCCCATCAATAGGTGTCATAGGAGGAATAGTGCCCCATCAATGGGTGTCAGTGGGAGGAATTGTGGCCCATCAATGGGTTTCACTGGAATTGTGCCCCATCAATAGGAGGAATTGTGCCCCATCAATGGGTTTCAGTGGGAGGAATTGTGCCCCATCAATGGGTGTCAGTGGGAGGAATTGTGCCCCATCAATGGATGTCAGTGGGAGGAATTGTGCCCCATCAATGGGTGTCAGTGGGAGGAATTGTGCCCCATCGATGGATGTCAGTGGGAGGAATTGTGCTCCATCGATGGATGTCAGTGGGAGGAATTGTGCCCCATCGATGGATGCCTTTGGGAGGAATTCTGCCTCTTCATTGGTATCATTGGGGGGGAAATTAGTGCCCCAAGGCCCGGATATTAGCAAGTAAAGAGCCACATTCGGGCTGCAGTTTGGAGACTACTGTTCTAGGACACAAACAAAAAAAATGTGCAGGCCAAAAAGAGCACAGGCGGTGCATAGAGGAGTCAACGCGTTTCGTGCTACTTTAGCGCTTACTCATAACTTTGACTCTGTCATGAATAAGTGCCAAACTAGCACGAAACGCGTCGACTCCTCTATGCACCTCCTGTGCTCTTTTTTCCTGTACATGTGTTTTTATATGAATATTAATAAAGTGGTATTTTTGCAGACTGCAGCTATCTGAAGTTTCTTCATGCATCTTGGATTTCAGATAAGGAGCTGGGCATTGTACCTGATGGAGCGAGGATAGCACAGGAGATCACACAGCAGACCAACCTGGAGCAGGGTCTTCCTGATTACAAGCAAACCATGCTGACACACAATGAGCACCACCATCAGGAAGCCGGTCCAGAGCAATGATGTGCAACTGATGCGGGGGCTGGGGGGTGCATGTGAGCAGGAAGTGGCTAAGAAGTCTGCAGGAGCTTAGCAGCACTCAGATGCAAACAAAAATATGATTTTAGGACAGAACACTGCTGGTAGGAAGAACAATTTTTTTTTTTTTTTTACTTTTTTTTTTTTTTTTTTTACATTTTTGTCCACATAGGGATTAGTTTTTGAGCAGCATTCAATTCACTAAAAATATATAAATAAAAAAGAATATTTTTTTAGCATGGTTCAAAAAACCAGCATTAGATAACAAGCCCGGGTTCACACTGATGCGGTGTGGAATTCGCAGCGTTTTCAGTGCAAATTCTGCACCGCATCAGAATCGCACCCCGTTAATGCCAACCGCTGCGGATGTGTATGTTAACCACTTCCCGTCCGTCCGCTGTATATAAACGGCCAGACGGTGGCAGTGCAGGGGCGGGTTGTCGTTCATAAACGGCGCCCGCCATTTTGGATTCTGCGTGCTCCCTGGGAGTGCGCGGCACTGCGTTCCGGTGCCCTCTGTGTCCTCCAGACACCAACCGCTGTACGGGACCTTTGTGTGTGGTCCCGATCATGTGATCACTGATTGGCCAATCAGTGATCACATGAATAGGTGTAAGCAAGATGTCACTTCCTGACATCATTGCTTACTACGTGTGAAATCTGTGAATGATCACAGAGATTCACAACAGCCTTGTACCATGTGACAAGCTGTGACCAATCACAACTCACACAGTATTTCTCAATGGCTGCAGGAATGCAGCCAGAGAGAAAGAAATGATTAATTTTACAGCCTTTACGGGTGTAAAAGCAGTGTACAAAAAAAAAAAAAAAATCTTCATCACCCCCCACAAGTAGAGCAGTATCACTATGGTGACACTCTACTGCTAGGGTGACAGTATGTTAAAAAAAAAAAAAAAGCAAAAAAAAAACCACAAATAATATTAAAAAAAAAAACCCAAAAATCTAAAAAAACATTTTTGCAAAATTATAATTTTTTGGTTATAAACTAACTTGGGTTATTTTGTTTCTTACTAAAAAGATAACGGAATAAATTTTGGCCAAGATTTATGAAGATTATTTGCAAAATTTTATAAGAAAATCACTTTTTTTCAACATTTTTGGACTTTTTCATTTATATAGCAAAAAAAAAAAAAATAAAAATCCCAGCGGTGAATAAATATCACCAAAATAAAGTTTTATCTGTCTCAAAAAAATCATATGGGTACAGTGTTGCATGACCGCGCAATTGTCATTCAAAGTGAGATAGCACTGAAAGCTGAAAATTTCCTGGACAGGAAGGGGGTGAAAGTGTCCGGACTGGAAGGGGGGAAAGTGTCCGGACTGGAAGGGGGGGGAAAGTGTCGGACTGGAAGGGGGGGAAAGGGGGGAAAGTGTCCGGACTGGAAGGGGGGGAAAGTGTCCCTGGAAGGGTGGGGGGACTGGAAGGGGGGTAAAGTGTCCGGACTGGAAGGGGGGGAAAGTGTCCGGACTGGAAGGGGGGAAAGTGTCCGGACAGGAAGGGGGGTAAAGTGTCCGGACTGAAAGGGGGGGGGACTGGAAGGGGGGGAAAGTGTCCGGGCATGATTAAATTAACCACACCTCGAAAGCGTTCAGCAAAAAACGCGGTGCGATGTGTAGAATCGGATCGCATAGGTGTGAATACCCATGCAATACGATTCTAGTGCGACCGCACATTTTTGGTGCTGTGCGAATAGAGCCATACAAAATGCACGGCTCCAATCGCACCGCACACAAATCGCATGTGATTTGCACAGGAATGCGGTGCGGTTCCTAAACAAATCACACACGATGTACCGCACCGCATTATTATTATTATACAGGATTGATATACAGTTGCAAGAAAAAGTATGTGAACCCCTTGGGATTACGTGGAGTTTTGCATGAATTGGGCATAAAATGTGCTCTGCACGTCATCTAAGTCACAACAATAGAAGAACACAGTCTGCTGAACATAATACTACACAAACATTAGATGTTGCCATGGTTTAATTGCACATAACATGTAAACATTCACAGTGCAGGGAGGAAAAAGTATGTGAACCTTTGGACTTAATAACTGGTTGACCCTCCTTTGGCAGCAATAACCTCAACCAAACGTTTCCTGTAGTTGCAGATCAGACCTGCACAACGATCTGGAGTGATTTTGGACCACTCCTCTTCACAAAACTGTTTCAGTGTAGCAATATTCTTGGGATGTCTGGTGTGAATCGCTCTCTTAAGGTCATGCCACAGCATTTCAATCGGGTTGAGGTCAGGACTCTGACTGGGCCACTCCAGAAGGCATATTCTGTGCTGTTGCAGCCATTGTTTTGTTGAATTACTTGTATGCTTTGGGTCATTGTCCTGTTGCATCACCCATCCTCTGCGGAGCTTCAGTTGGCGGACAGATGGTCGTACGTTTTCCTGCAAAATGTCTTGATAAACTCTGGAATTCATTTTCCCATCAATGACAACAATCCGTCCAGGCCCTGAGGCAGCAAAGCAGCCCCAAACCATGATGCTCCCTCCGCCATGTTTTACAGTGGGGATGAGGTTTTGATGTTGGTGTGCTGTGCCTTTGTTTCTCCCCACATAGTGTTGTGTGTTCTTCCCAAACAACTCAATCTTGGTTTCATCTGTCCACAGTATATTTTGCCAGTAGTGCTGTGGAACATCCAGGTGCTCTTTTGCAGTCTTCAAAAGTGCTGCAATATTCTTTTTGGACAGCAATGGCTTCCTCCGTGGTGTCCTCCCATGTACTCCATTCTTGTTTAATGTTTTCCTTATTGTAGATGTGTCAACAAAAATGTTAGCATGTGCCAGAGATTTCTGTAGGTCTTTAGCTGACACTCTGGGATTCTTCTTTACCTCATGCAGCATTCTGCGCTGTGCTCTTGCATCATTTTTACAGGACGACCACGCCTAGGGAGAGTAGCAACAGTGCTAAACTTTCTCCATTTTATAGACAGTCTGTCTTACCGTGGACACATGAACATCAAGGCTTTTGGAGATACTTTTGTAACCCTTTCCAGCTTCATGCAAGTCAACAATTCTTGATCATAGGTCTTCTGAGAGCTCTTTTCTGCGAGGCATGGTTCACATCAGACAGTGCTTCTTGAAACCAGTAAACCCAAAACAGGTGTGTGTTTTTTAAGGGCAGGACAGCTGTCAGCAACACATCCAATATCATCACACTGATTGGAGCCAAGGTTGGCTCACTCCTGACTCCAATTAGCTCTGGGAGAAGTCATTAAGGTAGGGCCTCACATACTTTTTCCTCCCTGCACTGTGAATGTTTACATGTTATGTGCAATTAAACCATGGCAACATGTAATGTTTGTGTAGTATTATGTTCAGCAGACTGTGTTCTTCTATTGTTGTGACTTAGATGACGTTCAAAGCACATTTTATGCCCAATTCATGCAAAACTCCACGTAATCCCAAAGGGTTCACATACTTTTTCTTGCAACTGTAGCGCCAACAGTTTTACATTATGATGGGAGACAATACATGAGACAGTACAATAATAATACAATGCGATACACGAGGGGTTCGAGGGTCCTGCTCCTTGGAGCTTACAATCTAGGAGGGAGGGGCTAGTGGTACAAGAGGTAATAACTGTGGGGGATGGAATGGTTGGAAGAGTAGAGGTTTTCAGTATTAGCTGAGGGCAGGATAGGCCTCCCTGAAGAGATAGGTTTTCAGAGTGCGCCTAAAGGTGAGCAGAGTAGGCGATAGTCTGATGGATTGGAGTAGGGAGTTCCAGAGGATGGGGGAAGCCCTGGAGAAGTCCTGGAGACGAGCATGGGAGGAAGAGACATGTATGTAAACCCGGGCTAAAGGTTGTTTTGATATTGAAATATATAAATAAAGGAGCCCCAAACGTTAGCTTTCCTCATCGGACGATGAATAACAGTCTAACCCTAAAATCCCCTTGCTCCTCCCAGCAGTGCGCGGTTCTCCTCCTGCTGTCTCCTCCATCTTGTTTCCGGAACTGATGACATTTTTCTGCGGACAGCCTGACAGCAAAATATCTTTGAGTGTCTTTGCCGTCTCCCCCCCGCCAGTATTATAAGTCGATCTCCCCCAGACGTCTCTTGGCTGAGATTTGGCATTGTTGAAGACAAGAGGTGCATCTTGGACTTGTGGATCGATACAGGCCGGGGCAGGAGGTGGTGGCGGCTGTGTATCGAGTCTTTCCTGTGACGGTTCCTCCTCCGAGTCACTTTCGTGTTCCTCCTTTGCTTTCTTGGAGAGAACGGGTGTGCACAGGATTTTTCCACAATTCGCTTCATCTTCAAAAAAAGAAAAACATATCTGAGTGAGCCATCAGTTGTTTTGCAGGATGACATAACAATGACACCAATCTGTACGCTGGTTTTAACCCATTCACACCGGCTCCTCCCGGCCCTTTAAGGGGTTTCTGACACCAGGAGGCGGGGCAGAGTTTAGGGTCATGTGACCGCCGTGACTGCCTGTCACATGATCGGAAAGGTCCAGATCGCAAGGAGAGATCGGGACCTTTCCATGGAACGCCGACACGTGCTTGGAGCGGGCAGGGCGCGCGCTCTCAGCATGTTTGTTTACAAATGGTACGCAAATAAGCGGCGGCTCGGCGTCAAGGCACAGCCACCGAGAGGCCGCATATTTGCGTACTGTCAGCGGGAAGAGGTTATTATTAATATTATACAGGATTTATGGCACCAACAGTTTGCTCAGCGCTTTACAATATAACGGGAGACAATACAGCAACAATACAGTTCAATACAAGAGGGATAGGAGGGCCCTGATCCTGGGAGCTTACAATCTAGGAGATTAAACTGTCCTACCGTGGAGGCCACCCCCGATGTGCATTATTTGCGCTTTTATTTTGTACTTTCCCCAAAAAAAATAATCAAGTGGGTCATGCAATGTGCAGGGTGATCCTTCCCCTATGAACGATGATGCATCATGTTTTTGATTGCAGGGAGCCATGTTGGGGGTGGGCCAATGACGCCCTGAACTCACAGGATGTCCTCAATCTTCCAGATAGACCCTGAATGTTGTTCAGCCCAGACGACTGAGGACATCTCATGGCAGAAACTAATTACTGCAGGTCACAGCTCTGGAGAGGCAGGGAGTACTGCAGGCAAGGCAGGGAGTAGTGCAGGCGAGGCAGGGAGTACTGCGGGCGAGGCAGGGAGTAGTGCAGGGAGTACTGCAGATGAGGCAGGGAGTAGTGCAGGGAGTACTGCAGGCGAGCAGGGAGTAGTGCAGGCGAGGCAGGGAGTTGTGCAGGCGAGGCAGGGAGTTGTGCAGGCGAGGCAGGGAGTACTGCAGGCAAGGCAGGGAGTGGTGCAGGGAGTAGTGCAGGCAAGGGAGGGAGTAGTGCAGGGAGTAGTGCAGGTGAGGCAGGGAGTAGTGCAGGCGGAGATTTTGCTCTATGACTTGTATGGGGGAGAGAAGCAGATCAGATGCAACACAAAGCTCCTAAATGACTCAAAGGGTGATAGTAACTAAAACTGCATGGTGCAAAACAGAAAACCAATCAGCTTCCAGGTTTTTATTGTCAAAGCTCAAAGGGGAACTCTCTCCTTCTCAGTCAACATTGATAATTTTGACTCCTTATGCTCCTAGCATTAGTAAATAGATAGGAAAGTATATCTCATTTTCTTGTTTTTTAAACTTGTTTTTTTTACATGTCTCCAGATTTTTCCTGGTTTCCATGCCTAGGCCAATGACGTCATACATCCCTGAGTCTTCAGGAGGGGTTTTCTCAGCTAAGCACACCCTCTTGCATGCATGCCTGAGCTAAGGGCTGATGAATGCTTGGAAGTAAATGCTACATGAATCATCTGCCCTTACTCAAGATGGCGGCGGCCAGAAATGCTGGGGGGGGGGGCGTTTTTCAAAGTTATTTCTTGGCAAAATATAACATAGCGACATGGAAGGAGAAGTTTGCTTTGAGTTTTAGAAATGAATTAGTGCTTCTGATTTGTGCTCAGATACAGTGTAGTTCCACTTCAATTAACCCCTTGGCGCCGGCGCCTCCCGGCCCTTTAAGGGTTCCAGAAGCCGGGAGGCGGGCGGGGTTTTAGGGTCACGTGACAGCTGTGATTCGCTGTCACATGATTGGGAAAGGTCCCGATCGAAAGAGGAGATCAGGACCTTTCCGTGAGTACCGAACGTGTTTGCTGGGAGCGCGCAGGGCAGCACACGTTTTTTTTAATAGAACGCAAATGTGCTGCCGCTCGGCGTCTAAGCCCGGACGCCGGACATTTTTTGCGTTCAGAGGTTAAACAAGCTGTAGTTAGAAGCTGATTGGCTCCCATGCACGGCTTTCCCCGGATTCTGAGTGCTCCAGTTTTAGTAAATCTCCCCCAAAGAAGCCCCTACGTTCCTCAGAACAGGTTTCTTTTAACCGCTTTCCCGCCAACGTATAGCAGAAATACAGCTACAGGGTGGCAAGGGTGCGCAATATCATGTATATACACGTCATTTTGCATTTCCGTTTAGGGGGGGGTGCACGCCCTACCCGTGCCGCCATTCACGGTGTTGGCTGTCAATCACCGGATCCCGGCTGGTGATTACTCACCGGCACCCGGTGATCGCTGAGTATTACCGATGGAGGAGAGAGCTGTATGTAAACAATACAGTTCTCTCCCGTCAGATCCAACACACTGCTTTGTATGGCTCGTTGCAGACCCTCCAGGTGGGAGCATTCATTTGTTAAGGGGCTTTGATGGTAGTGATCTCTAGGAGTTAACGTGTCCCCAGTCTCTGACAGTCTCCTGCATCAAGTCTCCAACACCTGTACTAGGTCAGTCTCCTGCATCGAATCTCCAACAGCCTGTACTAGGTCTGCAGTCTCTGACTGTCTCCTGCATCGAGTCTCCAACACCTGTACTAGGTCTGCAGTCTCTGACAGTCTCCTGCATCGAGTCTCCAACACCTGTACTAGGTCTGCAGTCTCTGACAGTCTCCTGCATCGAGTCTCCAACACCTGTACTAGGTCTGCAGTCTCTGACAGTCTCCTGCATCGAGTCTCCAACACCTGTACTAGGTCTGCAGTCTCCTGCACGAGTCTCCAACACCTGTACTAGGTCTGCAGTCTCGAGTGTCCTGCATCGAGTCTCCACACCTGTACTAGGTCTGCAGTCTCTGACAGTCTCTGCATCGAGTCTCCAACACGCCTGTACTAGGTCTGCAGTCTCTGACAGTCTCCTGCATCGAGTCTCCAACACCTGTACTAGGTCTGCAGTCTCTGACAGTGTCCCCTGCATCGAGTCTCCAACACCTGTACTAGGTCTGCAGTCTCTGGCTGTCTCCTGCATCGAGTCTCCAATGCCTGTACTAGGTCTGCAGTCTCTGACAGTCTCCTGCATCGAGTCTCCAACACCTGTACTAGGTCTGCAGTCTCTGACAGTCTTCTATAGCATTGAATATACTGGAATGTGTAAAGCTACCCTTGCAGTGGGGCTCCCACACCTCATTTAAAAAAAAAAAAGGTTTTTGCCTTTAGTTATACTTCACCAATTTGAGACATTCCGGAACATTGGTTGCTTTCCAAACTGGCTGTTGGAATTTTGTGACTCCAGGTGAAGATTTATTGTGTCTGCATGCACCATGTTATCTCCGTACCTGTTTCTACCCATGACGGTACTTTGCCATGCGCCGTCCTTTTCCTGGTGTACCCTCGGGGTTTCCACGGGTGCTCCTTGCAGGACGGGTCCAACCTGCGCAGCTTCCACAGTAACTCTGATACTCTTTCTTTAGGACCTCAATTTTCCCCTCGAATTCTTCAATCTTTCTTTCTGAATAGTGACTCAGCTGAGATTGCTGTAAACAGATGGCAGAGTTGGTCAAAAAGAAAAGCAGGAAAAAAAATAAAAACTCATTTATTGTCAATAGTACCCAACATAATGTCATTACAGGATTACCTCTTCCAGTACAGAAAAAAAATGGTCTCTCTCTCCCTCCTCTCTCTTTCTCCCCCCCCCTCTTTCTCTCTCTCCCTCCTCTCTCTTTCTCTCCCCCCTCTCTTCCTCTCCCCCCCTTTTCTCTCTCTCTCCCCTCTCTCTCTCTCTCTCTTCCCCATCTCTCTCTCTCCTCTCTCTCTCTCCCTCCCCCATCTCTCTCTTCTCTCTCTCTCCCCCATCTCTCTCTCTCTCCCTCTCTCTCTCCCTCTCCCCATCTCTCTCTCTCCCCCCCCTCTCTCTCCCATCTCTCATCTCCCTCTCCCATCTCTCTCTTTCCCCCCCTCCCTCCCCCCCCTCTCTCTCCATCTCCCCTCCCATCTCTCTCTTTCTCTCCCCCCATCTCTCTCTCCCTCTAACTCTCTCTCTCTCTATCACTCTCTCTTTCTGTCTCTCTCTCTCACCTACCAGCGTCAAACGCGGAAAGCCCTCCACCAATCAGATTCCTGCCTTGGGAGGGGGCTGGGATTTATACAATCACTGATCCAGATCCAGCGCTCACTTGTCATGTGATCCGATTGGGCTGTGTGCACCTCTGATAGAGAGGCCACTCTGAGCCCGGAGATGAAGGGGGGGGATCTGGGGCTGGTCTGGAGGAACTACAAGTCTCAGCATACGTCCCTATACCTTTAAGGAGGGGGTGAGCTCCCCCCAGGCATACCTGCCCTTAATCTATCCATTATTATATATGTGCTCCAGCTTTGAAGACTCTCAAACTGTATAGCAGTAGGACTGCAGTACATTGGGGTGCCATGGCGTGCCCTCTGCAGCTTACGCAGATATTTGCAAATGTGTGCAAACTAAACCCCTTGTTTTTAATGTGAACTGTTTAAAACAGGTCAGTATGGTATGTTGCAAGCTGGCGAGCCAGATCACGTGACTGGATCAGAGCGGCCTGAACATCAGTAAGTATACAGATCTTTTTTTTACACAGGTTGGTTGGTTAGTTTAGGTCAGGGTAGGCAACCTTAACCCCTCGCCTGCCGGGCACTTATACCCCCTTCCTGCCCAGGCCAGTTTTCAGCACTGTCAAACTTTGAATGACAATTGCGCGGTCATGCAACACTGTACCCATATGAAATTTGTATCATTTGTTTCACACGCATAGAGCTTTTTTTGGTGGTATTTAATCACCGCTGGGTGCAGAGGCGTCCCTAGGGTTGGTGTCACCCGGTGCGGTAACACTTGGTGACACCCCCTCCGACGATCCCTGCAGAATGGATCGGATCTGTGGATTGAGCATAATGGATCAGAATCCGATCCATTATGCTCAATCCGCAGATCCGATCCATCCTGTGGGGATCGTCGGTTTTCTTTACAACTTAACTTTTCTTGGAGTGGGTTCCGGGACAACTGCACATGTCCAGGTTTCAGGCACGATCACCCCCCCTTATGTATTATACATGGAGATCATATCCCCCCCTTATGTATTATACATGGAGATCATATCCCCCTTATGTATTATACATGGAGATCATATCCCCCTTATGTATTATACATGGTGATCATACCCCCCCCCTTATGTATTATACATGGAGATCATATCCCCCCTTATGTATTATACATGGAGATCATACCCCCCCCTTATGTATTATACATGGAGATCCTATCCCCCCCTTATGTATTATACATGGAGATCATATCCCCCCCTTATGTATTATACATGGTGATCATACCCCCCCCCTTATGTATTATACATGGAGATCATATCCCCCTTATGCATTATACATGGAGATCATATCCCCCTTATGTATTATACATGGAGATCATATCCCCCCCTTATGTATTATACATGGAGATCATATATCCCCCCTTATGTATTATAAATGGAGATCATATCCCCCTTATGTATTAAACATGGAGATCATATCCCCCTTATGTATTATACATGGAGATCATATCCCCCCTTATGTATTGTACATGGAGATCATATCCCCCCTTATGTATTGTACATGGAGATCATATCCCCCCTTATGTATTGTACATGGAGATCATATCCCCCCTTATGTATTATACATGGAGATCATATCCCCCTTATGTATTATACATGGAGATCATATCCCCCCTTATGTATTATACATGGAGATCATACCCCCCTTATGAATTATACATGGAGATCATATCCCCCCTTATGAATTATAACATGGAGATCATCCCCCCTTATGTATTATACATGGAGATCATATCCCCCTTATGTATTATACATGGAAATCATATCCCCCCCCTTATGAATTATACATGGAGATCATATCCCCCCCCTTATGTATTATACATGGAGATCATATCCCCCCTTATGTATTATACGTGGAGATCATATCCCCCCCTTATGTATTATACGTGGAGATCATATCCCCCTTATGTATTTATACATGGAGATCATATCCCCCCTTATGTATTTATACATGGAGATCATATCCCCCCTTATGTATTATACATGGAGATCATATCCCCCCTTTATGTATTATACATGGAGATCATATCCCCCCTTATGTATTATACATGGCGATCATATCCCCCCTTATGTATTATACATGGAGATCATATCCCCCCTTATGTATTATACGTGGAGATCATATCCCCCTTATGTATTATACGTGGAGATCATAAGATTTTGGGTTATGTATTATACATGGAGATCATATCCCCCCTTATGTATTTATATATGGAGATTCATATCCCCCCTTACGTAGTATTACATGGAGATCATACCCCCCCCCCCCCATATGTATTATACATGGAGATCATATCCCCTTATGTATTATACATGGAGACATATCCCCCCTTATGTATTATACATGGAGATCATACCCCCCTTATGAATTATACATGGAGATCATATCCCCCCTTATGTATTATACATGGAGATCATATCCCCCCTTATGTATTATACATGGAGATCATATCCCCTTATATATTATACATGGAGATCATACCCCCCCCTTATGTATTATACATGGAGATCATATCCCCCCTTATGTATTATACATGGAGATCATATCCCCCCCTTATGTATTATACATGGAGATCATATCCCCCCTTATGTATTATACATGGCGATCATATCCCCCTTATGTATTATACATGGAGATCATATCCCCCCTTATGTATTATACATGGAGATCATATCCCCCCCTTATGTATTATACATGGAGATCATATCCCCCCTTATGTATTATACATGGAGATCATATCCCCCCTTATGTATTATACATGGAGATCATATCCCCCCTTATGTATTATACATGGAGATCATATCCCCCCTTATGTATTATACATGGAGATCATATATCCCCCTTATGTATTTATACATGGAGATCATATCCCCCCTTATGTATTTATACATGGAGATCATATCCCCCCTTATGTATTATACATGGAGATCATATCCCCCCTTATGTATTATACATGGAGATCATATCCCCCCTTATGTATTATACATGGAGATCATATCCCCCCTTATGTATTATACATGGCGATCATATCCCCCCCTTATGTATTATACATGGAGATCATATCCCCCCTTATGTATTATACGTGGAGATCATATATCCCCCTTATGTATTATACGTGGAGATCATATCCCCCCCCTTATGTATTATACGTGGAGATCATATCCCCCCTTATGTATTATACATGGAGATCATATCCCCCCTTATGTATTTATATATGGAGATCATATCCCCCCTTACGTATTATACATGGAGATCATATCATACCCCACCCCCCCCCCCCCCCCCCATATGTATTATACATGGAGATCATATCCCCCCCTTATGTATTATACATGGAGATCATATCCCCCCTTATGTATTATACATGGAGATCATACCCCCCTTATGAATTATACATGGAGATCATATCCCCCCTTATGTATTATACATGGAGATCATATCCCCCTTATGTATTATACATGGAAATCATATCCCCCCCTTATGTATTTATACATGGAGATCATATCCCCCCTTATGTATTATACATGGAGATCATATCCCCCCTTATGTATTTATATATGGAGATCATATCCCCCCTTACGTATTATACATGGAGATCATACCCCCCCCCCCCATATGTATTATACATGGAGATCATATCCCCCCTTATGTATTATACATGGAGATCATATCCCCCCTTATGTATTATACATGGAGATCATATCCCCCCCTTATGTATTATACATGGAGATCATATCCCCCCCTTATGTATTATACATGGAGATCATATCCCCCCCTTATGTATTATACATGGTGATCATATCCCCCCTTATGTATTATACATGGAGATCATATCCCCCCTTATGTATTATACATGGAGATCATATCCCCCCTTATGTATTATACATGGAGATCATATCCCCCCTTATGTATTATACATGGAGATCATATCCCCCCTTATGTATTATACATGGAGATCATATCCCCCCTTAATCTCCTCTTCTCAGTAGAGAATAAATTCAGTTCCTCTAATCTTTCCTCATAGCTGATCTCCTCCATGCCTCTTATCAGTTTGGTTGCCCTTCTCTGTACTTTCTCAGTTCCCCAATATTCTTTTTGTGAATTGGAGCCCAAAACTGAACTGCATATTCCAGATGAGGTCTTACTAATGATATGTACCCGGGGGGATGACGATATCTCTCTCTCTGGAGTCTATACCTCTCCTAATACAAGAGAGGATTTTGCTCGCTTTAGAACCCGCAGCTTGGCATTGCTGCCATTATTAAGCTTGTGATCTACCAGAACTCCCAGATCCTTCTCCACAATGACCCCCCCAGATCCTTCTCCACAATTGACCCCCCCAGATCCTTCTCCACAATTGACCCCCCCAGATCCTTCTCCACCACTGAGAAGTGTGATTGTATAATAACAATATTAATAGTAATGAGAACATACTGTAATGATAAATCATATTTTCAAGCTCACATACAGGCTGGCAATGAAAATGCACCAAAACGTTGGTAAATTGGTACAGAAGGATCAGGGCCCTCCTATCCCTCTTGTATTGATCTGTATTGTTGCTGTATTGTCTCCCGTTATATTATAAAGCGCTGAGCAAACTGTTGGCGCTAATATAAATCCTAATTATAATAATAATAATAAATAAATCCTGTATAATAATAATAATAAATAAATCCTGAATATAATAATATAAATCCTGTATTATAATAATAATATAAATCCTGTATAATATATAAATCCTGTATAATAATAATAATATAAATCCTGTATATAATAATAATAATAATATAAATCCTGAATAAATAATAATAATATATAAATCCTGTATAATAATAATAATATATAAATATAATAATAATATAAATCCTGTATAATAATAATAATAATATAAATCCTGTATAATAATATATAAATCCTGTATAATAATAATAATAATAATATAAATCCTGTATAATAATAATAATAATAATAATATAAATCCTGTATAATAATAATAATAATATAAATCCTGTATAATAATAATAATAATAATATATAAATCGTGTATAATAAATATAAATCCTGTATTATAATAATAATAATATAAATCCTGTATAATAATAATAATATATAAATCCTGTATAATAATAATAATAATATCCTGTATAAATAATAATTAAATATATAAATCCTGTATAATAATAATAATAATAATATAAATCCTGTATAATAATAATAATAATATAAATCCTGTATAATAATAATAATAATATATAAATCGTGTATATAAATCCTGTAATAATAATAATAATATAAATCCTGTATAATAATAATAATATATAAATCCTGTATAATAATAATAATATATATCCTGTATAATAATAATAATATATAAATCCTGTATAATAATAATGATATATAAATCCTGTATAATAATAATAATAATAATATAAATCCTGTATAATAATAATAATATATAAAATCCTGTATAATAATAATAATATATAAATCCTGTATTATAATAATAATAATATAAATCCTGTATAATAATAATAATAATATAAATCCTGTATAATAATAATAATATATAAATCCTTTATTATAATAATAATAATAATAATATAAATCCTGTATAATAATAATAATAATATAAATCCTGTCCTGTATAATAATAATAATATAAATCCTGTATAATAATAATAATATATAAATCCTGTATTATAATAATAATATAAATCCTGTATAATAATAATAATAATATTGGGTTTGCTAGGATGGGTAAATGAGGCAACTCCTTGTCCAACCAGCAGGTGTCAGCACCTCTCTGCTACTCCTAGCGTTTTAGAACAGGAGGGAAGGTTATTCTTGGCGGACAGGTAACAAGGACTATTATCCATGAGAAGGACAACGCAGAGGAGAGGAATTACTGTCACACCCGTATAAAATCCACTGCAGCACATTTATTCTTCATTGAATGGCTAAAAACGTCCTTACAGCTATGGCCAGCTTTGCAGCACCATTAAAGTGTTACTAAACCCACAACAGTACAATCAGTCTGTAGATGCAGTAAAGCATGCTTGTTATATTCACTGTGGAACCTAAGGGGTTAATCCTCTGCATTGTGTAAAAAGGCTGTTTGATCCTGTCTTCTCTGGTCCTCCTATTGTTGAAATGGCCACCTGATACAGACTGAATCCGTGGTCACATGCACATGCTCAGTTTGGTGTGTATTGCTAGAGAGGTTTTTTTATTTTTTTTCTTTGGTGTGTGTATGTGATCAGCACAGGGCCAATCAGCACTGTCCAGACAGAGGTCAGGAGGTTCTGCATCCTCCTAGAGCAGAAAGAAAACTCCTCCTACAAGCTTTAACCAGTGCTCAGTTGGACACTGATAGAAGTCACAAGACTGCTATATACTGCTGATGAGAAAAGATATATAGCAGTTTATATTTACTAAAATAATTGCATTTCCATCTTCTGTGTACTGTGGGAGACCAGATATAGTGAATGCGGGGTCCGGGGAGACCGGATATAGTGAATGTAGGGCCCGGGGAGAGTGGATATAGTGAATGCAGGGTCCGGGGAGACCGGATATAGTGAATGCAGGGTTCGGGGAGACCGGATATAGTGAATGCGGGGTCCGGGGAGACCAGATATAGTGAATGCAGGGTCCGGGGAGACCGGATATAGTGAATGCAGGGTCCAGGGAGAGCGGATATAGTGAATGCAGGGTCCGGGGAGAGCGGATATAGTGAATGCAGGGTCCAGGGAGAGCGGATATAGTGAATGCAGGGTCTGGGGAGAGCGGATATAGTGAATGCAGGGTCCAGGGAGAGCGGATATAGTGAATGCGGGTTCCGGGGAGACCGGATATAGTGAATGCAGGGTCCAGGGAGAGCGGATATAGTGAATGCAGGGTCCGGGGAGAGCGGATATAGTGAATGCAGGGTCCAGGGAGAGCGGATATAGTGAATGCAGGGTCTGGGGAGAGCGGATATAGTGAATGCAGGGTCCAGGGGAGAGCGGATATAGTGAATGCGGGTTCCGGGGAGACCGGATATAGTGAATGCAGGGTCCAGGGAGAGCGGATATAGTGAATGCAGGGTCCGGGGAGACCGGATATAGTGAATGCAGGGTCCAGGGAGAGCGGATATAGTGAATGCAGGGTCCTGAGCTTAGTAACACTTTAAAATATAACTATAAAAGCAAATTTTGTTTATTTTAGATAGAGTAAGGGAGGGTTATAACCCCACTCAGATTTATTTTCCCACCTGTGTCCCCATTGGGGGGATTTCCCAAGTGAGAGGAATCCCCTCTGAAAGTTGTCACCAGAACTAGTGTCCCCATTGGAAGACCTCCCCTCTGTTCCTGTTCTGGTGACACTTTGAAGCCACAGTTTTATGATTGAACTGTATATAAACATGGGATGTCTGTCCTCTATAGATTTGGGATGGCGCCAACCAGCATTGTCTTACCTCTAAATAATATTCGATCTCATTCTTGATGCTGGGGATCCATTTCTTCACATCTGTGGCTGTGTGCAGCGCCCCCTGCAGGAAACATGGAGGAGAGACTAGTAAAAGGGATTGTGGCAAAAGTCATGTATAGGAAAGTTCTAGTACCCCCCAGGCTCACCAGTTTGGGGCGATTACTGGAGACGTCCTTCACACGGCCCTCTGAAGAGAAAACAAAGGTAGAGGTTAGTCCACCAAAAACGGACATATCAGGGGTGGGTGGAGTGGGGTGATCCGCCACAGGGCCGATCTCCTGGGAACTGCCCCCTCCTCTCATTATACCCCGTACTGCCCCCTCCCTCTCATTATACCCCCCTGTACAACCCCCTCCTCTCATTATACCCCCCTGTACCGCCCCCCTCCTCTCATTATACCTCCCTGTACCGCCCCCTCCTCTCATTATACCCCCTATACCACCCCCTCCTTCATTATACCCCCCTGTACCTCCCCCTCCTCTCATTATACCCCCCTGTACCTCCCCCTCTTCTCATTTATACCCCCCTGTACCTCCCCCTCCTCTCATTATACCCCCCTGTACAGCCCCCTCCTCTCATTATACCCCCCTGTACCTCCCCCTCCTCTCATTATACCTCCAGTACCGCCCCTTCTCTTATTATATTACCCTGCTTTGCCTCCTCTCCTCACTACACCGCTCTCCTATTTTACCGCCCCCTCTCCTCTCCTCTTATACCCCCCATGTACCGCCCCCTCCTCTCGTTATACCCCCCATGTACCGCCGCTTCCATCATTATACTTCCCGTACCGCCCCTTCCATCATTATACCCCCCATGTACCATCCCCTCCTCTCGTTATACCCCTCATGTACCGCCCCTTCCATCATTATACCCCCCATTTACCACCCCCTCTTCTCGTTATATCCCCCCATGTACTGCCCCTTCCATCATTTATACCGCCCCATGTACCGCCCCCCTCCTCTCGTTATACCCCCTGTACCGCCCTTCCTCTCGTTATACCCCCCCATGTACCGCCCCTTCCATCATTATACCCCCCATGTACCCCCCCTCCGCTCGTTATACCCCCCAAGTACCTCCCCCTCCTCTCGTTATACCCCCCATGTACCGCCCCTCCTCTCATTATACCCCCCCATGTACCTCCCCTTCCTCTCGTTATACCCCCCATGTACCGCCCCCTCCTCTCGTTATACCCCCCCCCCCATGTACCGCCCCTCCTCTCGTTATACCCCCCCCCCCCATGGACCGCCCCTTCCTCTCGTCATATACCCCCCCATGGTACCGCCCCCTCCTCTCGTTATACCCCCCATGTACCGCCCCTTCCTCTCGTTATACCCCCCATGGACCGCCCCTTCCTCTCGTCATACCCCCATGTACCGCCCCCTCCTCTCACCCTCTCTCTCTCTCTGCAGCCACACTCTGTTCAGTCTCCCCAGCTGCTTCTCCTCATTCCTGGCCATGTTTACTTCCTGTCTCCGGGTGATGACATCACTGCCACGTGATTCCGGGGGGTGGGATATATCACACTTCAAACGCGGAAACCCCTCCACCAATCAGAAGGCCGCCTGGGTGGGCGGGGCTGTGTATATTCGGCGATAGGGGGAAGTCATTTTGCTCTTACAGGCTCGCTTGTCACGTGATGTCTCCTAGACATCGGAGCCCGGAGATCTGGTGGAGGAACTACTAGTCCCAGCTGTCTGAGAGGGGGGAGGGTACAGAGATCATTATTATTGTATCACGGCTCAGTCACTGGCCCCCGGGGCCTAGAATACTCCCCCAACATGTCATGGGTTCCTGCCTGCTGATTGCTCCCCCTCCCAGGGGCCAGGGTCGTCAAACTTCTCCCCATGTGATGGGGTTCCTGCCAGGTTATTGGCCCCCCAGGGTCCAGGTTAGCAACTGTCACCCCCAATGTGTTCAGCCGAGCAATTGGCCTTCCTGTGTGATGGGTTTTCTGCCTGGTGATTGGCCCCCAGGGGCCAGGGTCATCAACCTTCTCCTCCCCGTGTGATGGGTTTTCTGCCTGGTGATTGGCCCCCAGGGGCCAGGGTCATCAACCTTCTCCTCCCCGTGTGATGGGTTTTCTGCCTGGTGATTGGCCCCCAGGGCCGGGGTCATCAACCTTCTCCTCCCTGTGTGATGGGGTTTCTGCCTGGTGATTGGCCCCCAGAGGCCGGGGTCATCAACCTTCTCTCCCTGTGTGATGGGGCTTCTGCCTGGTGATTGGCCCCCAGGGGCCGGGGTCATCAACCTTCTCCCTGTGTGATAGTGGCTTCTGCCTGGTGATTGGCCCCCAGGGGCCGGGGTCATCAACCTTCTCCCCCGTGTGATGGGGTTTCTGCCTGGTGATTGGCCCCCCAGAGGCCAGAGTCATCAACCTTCTCCTCCCTGTGTGATAGGGCTTCTGCCTGGTGATTGGCCCCCAGGGGCCGGGGTCATCAACCTTCTCCTCCCCGTGTGATGGGTTTTCTGCCTGGTGATTGGCCCCCAGGAGCCGGGGTCATCAACCTTCTCCCCGTGTGATGGGGTTCTTCTGCCTGGTGATTGGCCCCCAGAGGCCGGAGTCATCAACCTTCTCCTCCCCGTGTGATGGGGCTTCTGCCTGGTGAATTGGCCCCCAGGGCCGGAGTCATCAACCTTCTCCCCGTATGACCGGGTTCCTGCCTGGTGATTGGCCCCCAGGGGCCGGGGTCATCAACCTTCTCCCCATGTGATGGGGTTTCTGCCTGGTGATTGGCCCCCAGGGGCCGGGGTCATCAACCACTCCTCCCCATGTGATGGGGTTTCTGCCTTGTGATTGGCCCCCAGGAGTCAGGGCCATTAACCTTTTCCACCATTAGTATAAATGCAGTGAGTAAGTAACACAGTCAGGAGTGAGTAGTATGTAAAAGAGTTCAGAGGTCAGGAGCATGTAAGAGTTCAGAGGTCAGGAGCATGTAAGAGTTCAGAGGTCAGGAGCATGTAAGAGTTCAGAGGTCAGGAGCATGTAAGAGTTCAGAGGTCAGGAGTATGTAATGCAAAGTGCAGAGTTAAAGGATAGGTTCACCTCTCATAACGTGAGACACCCATGTTCACGCTTTAACATGTAATGTTATGAAAGCACCGGCCTTCTACCCACTACTAGCTGTCAAAATTCTAAAAAAAAGGAGTGGTCAGGAGTTAGTAATGTATAGTATAGGGGTTGGGAGTAACACAGAGTACAGGGGTCAGGAGTTCTGAGGTCAGAACTATGTAACTCAGAGGTCAGTAGTATGTAACGCAGAGATAGAAGTCAGCCGTAAATAAATTTCAGAGGTCAGCGGTATGTTATGCAGAGTTCAGAGGCTAGTAGTAAGTAATGCACAATGCAGATGTCAGTAATGAGTAACCTAGAGAGCCGGGGTTAGGAGTAACACAGTCCATGGTTTATTAGCATGCAGTGCAAGGGTCAGGAGTAAGTAACCTACAGTACAGGGGTCAGGAGTATGTATAACAGAGTACAGGGGTCAGGAGTATGTATAACGGAGTACAGGGGTCAGGAGTATGTATAACGGAGTACAGGGGTCAGGAGTATGTATAACGGAGTACAGGGGTCAGGAGTATGTATAACGGAGTACAGGGGTCAGGAGTATGTATAACGGAGTACAGGGGTCAGGAGTATGTATAACGGAGTACAGGGGTCAGGAGTATGTATAACGGAGTACAGGGGTCAGGAGTATGTATAACGGAGTACAGGGGTCAGGAGTATGTATAACGGAGTACAGGGGTCAGAGTATGTATGTACAGGGGTCAGGAGTATGTATAACGGAGTACAGGGGTCAGGTATGTATAACGGAGTACAGGGGGTCAGGAGTATGTATAACACAGGGGTCAGGAGTATGTATAACGGAGTACAGGGGTCAGGAGTATGTATAACAGGGGTCAGGAGTATGTATAACATAGTACAGGGGTCAGGAGTATGTATAACAGGGGTCAGGAGTATGTATAACAGAGTACAGGGGTCAGGAGTATGTATAACAGAGTACAGGGGTCAGGAGTAGTACCTATACAGGGGTCAGGAGTAAGTAACCTACAGTACAGGGGTCAGGAGTATGTATAACGGAGTACAGGGGTCAGGAGTATGTATAACAGAGTACAGGGGGGGTCGGGAGTATGTATTAAGGGGTCAGGAGTAACCTGTGGAGGTGTGCTTTATATACAGAGCAGATAAGTACTCCCGTGTTTCCATGCATGTCTTGCCACAGTGAAGGAACGACTCCTCTAAACAGGTAAGTATTTCTTTGCACTTAGCAATCTTGTTGCTGGTGAATTGTCACCCAATACATTATCATAGTGTGCCATGGGCCTCCATGTTGGGGATTTCCAAGAACTTTAACAAAAGGAACCATAATAATCAGCGCTTACCTTGAAAAAAAGAGTCTCAGACTTTTTTAATACATCCGGTACTTGTCAAAACCAAGTATTTACCACTCGCTGTGCATCTGGTTGGTTTATAGAACCCAATGCACATAGGAGCCCGGCTAAGCGGCCTGTGAAGCCATGCTGGTATGTGGAAAGTATCTGGGTCATCGCCAGAAGATTGTATCATGGGTGCGGTTTGTAGCCTTGGGATTCTCACCCAGCAGATAATCCCTATAAAAATACTCTGTCACTAAACTGTGTGCACAACGCTCAGGTTACCTTCAGTATACATTTCTTAAAGAGAACCTGTCACCTATGGACAGGCTATCTTGTAGGCTAGATTGGTATTTCCCGACAAGGCAGCTTTTCCATTCGCTGGGATCCTCTGTTCGGATAAGTCCCTACTGAAAGCAGACTTCTCTAGAAGGGAACAGGAAGCTGCAAACCAATAAATCCATTTATAATGATATACGGAATAGGGAAGGTATGCATTCAACTCAATATAATAAATCCAATCAGGATGTTATAAAGTATATTCCACATTCTGTAGGCTGTTCATGGCAAAGTGACCAGTTCTTTGCCCACCTCTGCACACAGCTTCCTGAGATGAGAAAGCGGGGTGGTGTGTAGAGGTCTAGTAGCATGCTTGTCCTCCATGTCCACCAACAACCATGTGGTGGGGGAGCAACCACTTTTTAACACTTTCCTGTCTGGCTTAGGTTGGTTCCCGTAGTTTGCTTAGACTTCCCTGGTACTTTGGACATGTGATCCTCTCTTGGGCACCAATAGGTGAGACCCCCCCAGCCTGGCCTAACCAGCACCTCTAGTAGTCCATCTTGTACATTCCTCAGGCCTTACGGCAATGGATCCCAATAGCTTCAGACAAAAACCTTTACAAAGGACATTCCCATCTAGAGGTTAAGAGAAAAGAATACGAGAAAATATAAAGCTGAGGAGCCCGTACCTTTTTAGAAGTCCTGCATCCTATGCAAAGGGGATGTGATTAGTCCACAATGTCCTTCACCTCTTCATGCCTGCTCCCCCCCCAGAGTCACGGGAACACTTTCTATGATAACCAACTTGCAGGTGGAATTCCACCAGACTATATAGAGAACCCTCACTGGCAGGGGTAGGACTGCCACTTCCTCACTGTCTATGGCAGTGTTTCCCAACCAATGTGCCGTGGCACCCTGAGGTGCTATTTGGGTTTCTCAAGGTTGCCATGAGTACAAGTTTTCCCTGGATGAGAGTTGGATGGGTGTATTCTTCTTAAACTTTGGTGTGCTTTGTGTATTTCTTCCAGATCCGTGCAGTATTATTATTATACAGTATTTATAAAGCGCCAACAGTTCGCTCAGCGCTGTACATTACATTGGGAGACAATACAAGCGACAGTACAATAACAATACAATGTGATACACAAGGGGTTCGAGGGCCCTGCTCCTTAGAGCTTACAATCTAGGAGGGAGGGGATAGTGGTACAGGAGGAAAAGCTGTAGGGGATGGAGTGGTAGGAAGAGTGGAGGAGGTCGGGAATTAGCAGGGGGTGGGGTAGGCTTCCCTGAAGAGATGGGTTTTCAGGGTGCGCCTAAAGGAGAGGAGAGTAGGTGATAGTCTGATGGATTGGGGTAGGGAGTTCCAGAGGATGGGTGATGCCATGGAGAAGTCCTGGAGGTGGGCATGGGAGGAAGAGACCAGGGAACTAGAGAGAAGGAGGTCTTGTGAGGAGCGGAGTCTGCGTGTTGGGCGGTACTTGGATATTAGGTCAGTGATGTAGTTTGGGGCAGAATTATGGACAGCTTTGTACGTCAATGTTAGGAATTTAAATTTGATCTGTTGAGCAATCGGAAGCCAGTGAAGGGATTGGCAGAGGGGGGTGGAGGACACTAAGTGGAGGCCAGTGGAGGGATTGGCAGAGAGGGGTGGAGGACACTAAGTGGAGGGCAGTGGAGGGATTGGCAGAGGGGGGTGGAGGACACTAAGTGGAGGCCAGTGGAGGGATTGGCAGAGGGGGGTGGCGGAGATGGAGCGGTTGGAAAGGTGAACGAGTCTGGCAGCCGTATTCAGGATGGACTGAAGCGGGGATAGCCAGCGGCGAGGCAGGCCAGTGAGGAGGGAGTTGCAGTAGTCGAGTCGTGATATGATGAGGGAGTGGATGAGCTGTTTAGTGGTTTCTGGGGTTAGGAACGTGCGGATTTTGGCGATGTTGCAGAGGTGGAGTCTGCATGAGTTTGTTAAAGATTGGACTTGGGGCTGGAAGGATAGGTTGGAGTCCAGAATCCAGTAATCCAGTGTGAGACGTCCTGTAATAAAGACTGGTCACTGCTGCTCTCTCTCCTTGTGCAGGGGGACTGGTCTTGTCTCCGCCCCCTCCTCTAGTTTTCTGCAGACAGTTTGTAGTGGGTGGAGCTTGGTGGGCCCCTCCCACAGCTCTTTTATCCTTGTGCAGGGTGACTGGTCTTGTATCTGCTCCCTCTCATAGGTTTCTGTAGTGGGTGGAGCCTGCTGGGTCCCTCCCACATCTCTGCTCTCTGCACTGGCTATGTACAGCACAGTGATGATGTCACTGCTACATTTATAAGGTAATATCTGGGCTTGTAAAGGCATTTGGTGCACACAAAGTGGATTTAAATCTTTTGTGGCTATTGAGGGATTATTTAAATAAATGTTTTTGTGCACATGGTTCAGCTTAACCCCTCGCCCTCCAAAGGATTTACCCCCCCCCCCCTTCCTGACCAGGCCATCTTTTGCGCGCTGCGTTGCTTTAACTGACAATTGAGCGGTCATGCAACGCTGCACCCAAATTAAATTTATGTACTTTTTTTTTTTACCACAGATTGAGCTTGGTGGTATTTGATTGCCTGTGCATTTTTTATTTTTTTTGCGCTATAATCAAAAAAATACTGACGATTTTAAGAAAAAAAACAATATTTTTGACTTTTTGCTATTAAACGCGTCCAGTAAAAAAATTTAAAAAAATCAAATTTCGTCATAAATTTAGGACAATATGTATTCTGCTGTGTCTTTGCTAAAAAAAAATAAATCCCAATACGTGTAAATTAATTGATTTACGTGAAAATTATAGCATTTACAAATGGTGGTATATATACTGGAAATATTTTTTTTTACATTTTTTTTTACTAGTAATGGCGGCGATCAGCGAATTATAGCGGGACTGCAGTGGGCATTCTGACACTGGGGGAACTAACTAACTGTCACTGACAACCTCAGTGACACCAATACAGTGGTCAGTTCTAATACAATGCAAGACACTGTACTAATGGCACTGGGCAGGAAGGGGTTAGCATCAGGAGCGATCAAAGGGTTAACTGTGTGCTGTGTATTTTACTGTGTACTATGTCTGTGTGATTCACTATAAGCACACTGCTTTGTATTGGTCTGCTATGCAGAGTCATACAAAGCAGTGTGCAGGAGCTGACAGGGGAGAGATCTGTATTGTTTACTTACAGTTCTCTCCTTCTGTTGGTAATGCTTGGCAATCGCTGGATGCCAGCGAGCAATCACCAACCGGGACCCAGTGATTGACAGCTGAGGCCGCGAACGGTGGCGCAGGTAGGGCACGCTCACGGCTCACACGTGCCCCTTACCTGGAACTGCAAAATCACATATATATACGTGATTTTGCTCTCCTGTGCCACCCTGTAGCAGTATTCCTGCTATAGGGTTGACAGGAAGCCATTAAAAAATGTATGGGCAGCACAGTGGCTAAATGGTTAGCACTTCCACCTGGCAGTACTGGGGTTGTTGGTTCAAATCCCAACCACAGCACCACCTGCCTGGAGTTTGCATGTTCTCCCTGTGCCTGTGTGGGTTTCCTCCTCTCCAAAGACATGCTGGTAGGGTAATTGGCTCCTGCCTATTGTCCCTAGTATGTGTATGTATGAATGTGTTAGGGACCTTAGATTGTACGCCCCTTGAGGGTTAGGGACCTTAGATTGTACGCCCCTTGAGGGTTAGGGACCGATGTGAATGTACAATATATATGTAAAGTGCTGCGTAAATTGATTGCGCTGTATAAGTACCTGAAATAAATAAAATGTGTGCAAAAAAATGGCTCTGGCAATGAAAGAGTTAAGCCTGAACTGCTGCTGCACACAATGCTCAGGCTACACATGAGACGGGATTGCGCACTCTTGTTTTGTGTTGCCACGCAACCTTTATTTACTTCTAAAAAAAAGGAGAAAAAAACATTTTTGGAACTTCTTTGCTGACATTTTCAATTTTGTTTTCATAACTTTGGATTTCTTTTTGTTTTATTTTATTAACTCCACTTCTTTCCTGCATTCAATGATGACATTTCATTACCTAATGTGAACTGTTGCTGTAAAAATATATTTTATTACAGCAAGAAAAATAAAGAACGTGAGGCGGCGTTGGGTCGTTTTTTTTTTAAAAAAAATCCTTTTTTACTTCTTAATGGAACATATTTATAGATTGTTCTGATGGTCCAAGAAAGTTTATAACCAGATCACATAAAGGGACGGGTGGGATTAAAGGCCCAGCTGCTGAACATATGGGGCGTCCATTGGCAGCACTTTTACTGCCTCGCTCCTGGCACACTGACTGAGCTGTCACCAGGATTCCTCGGTCTCTCTTCGTGATTGATAGCCAGTGGGACCAGCTCCTGATTGCGTTAACCTCTTCCTGCCGCCATAACGCCATATATATGGCCGATTGGAGAGGAGCGCCCGATGTCCAAACAAAGTCTCACTTGATGACTCCTATAGTTGTTGAAGATAAAGTAGAGACAACGCGTTTCAGGGGAATGGCCTCCCCCTTCTTCAGGGCTGTATTTCTTGGAGAATGGTTAGACTCTTGGAGGGTTAAATATATTATTTATTGTATATGTTAAAAAAATCTGAAGAATATATTTAAAAAATATATACTTTTAAAAATATATTTTTTTAAAATATATTCTTTACATTTTTTTAATATATAAAAAAGCCATTTTAACATATATTTTTACATTTATTTGTAAATGCATTCAAAAAATGTAGATTTGTATTTTTAAAGACATACAGTGTATCTGAAATGTATTTTTAAAAATATTTTTCATATAATTTGTAATAAAACAAATTTCAACATGAGATATATATAGATAGATAGATAGAAAGAAAGAGAGAGAGAGATTATGGCCAAAATTGTAGTTTTTCATATATATGTCAATATATTTGGGAAGCATATTTTAACCCCTCGCCTACAGGGCACTTATACCCCCTTCCTGCCCAGGCCAATTTCCAGCTTTCAGTGCTGTTGCACTTTGAATGACAATTGCGCGGTCATGCAACACTGTACCCATATGAACTTTTTATCATTTTTTTGTGACAAATAGAGCTTTATTTTGGTGGTATTTAATCACCTCTGGGATTTTATTTTTTCTTAAACCAAAAACCACTGAAAATTTAGAAAAAGTTTTTTCTTAGTTTTTGTTATAAAATTTTGTAAATAAGTGATTTTTCTCCTTCACCGATGTGCGCTAATGAGGCTGCAGTGGTGGGCTCTGATAGGTGGCACTGATGGACATTGACAGGCATCACTGATGGGCACTGAAAGGCAGCACTGATATATGGTACTGTTTGGCGGCACTGACTGGCACTGATAGGCGGCACTGACTGGCACTGATAGGCGGCACTGACTGGCACTGATAGGCGGCACTGACTGGCACTGATAGGTGGCACTGATGGCATTGGTGGCACTGACTGGCACTGATGGGTGACACTGAAAGGCAGCTCAGATGGGCACTGATATGTGGCATTGATGTGCACTGGTAGGCACTGATATGTGGCATTGATGGGCACTGGTAGGCACTGATATGTGGCATTGATGTGGCACTGATGGGCACTGACACAAGGCACTGATGGACACTGACAGGTGGCACTGCTGGGGCTACACTGATCATCAGGGCACACTGATCATCAGTGCTCTGATGATCAGTGTACATGTCCCCTCCGAGGAATGCCGATTACCGTCTCTCCTCTCCTCTCCTCTGTCAGCATGACAGCTCGAGAGGAGAGAAATGCCGATAACCGCCATTTCCCTGTTTACATGTGATCAGCTGTGATTGGACACAGCTGATCACATGATCGAGCTGACATCTTCGGCTCTTTCTGTGGTTCGGTGATCCTCTGTGTCCGATGGACACAGCACACCGCCGATTGCCGCGCCACGTGCTCCGGGAGCCGCGCATGCACAGTTAGAATGGGAGGACGTCATATGATGCCCTCCTAGAACGAGAGAACCACCTTGCGTCCGTCGTATTACTATATGGCGGGCGGGAGGTGGTTAAATATATTTCAGATATATTTTTCTTCCATGTGGGTTTGATGGACATTATCGTTGCAGATTTCATGTTGCTTAAAGGAGAAGCTGTGTCACTCCTTTTAAATTGTGGCCACGCCCGACCACGCCTCTCCTATAGTTTAATACAGGAATGCCCAGCTGCAGATGTGAGCGTATCCTCAGTACTCCTCTCAAGATCCCTCAGTTCTGATGCAAGCAGTGGGCTGACTCTGAGGCCGGGTTCACATATATGCGATGCGGTAGATCGCATGCGACTCGCACAGGAACCGCACCGCATTCCTGTGCGAATCACATGCGATTTGTGTGCGATGCGATTGGAGCCGTACATTTTGTATGGCTCTAATCGCACCGCACCAAACAGGCGCAGGACCCTTTTCTGGGTCCGCACTAGAATCGGATTGCATGGGTATTCACACCTATACGATCCGATTCTACACATTGCACCGCCTTTTTACGGACCGCTTTCGGGGTGTTGTTAATGTAACATACACACCCGCACCAGTTCGCATGAAAGGGGTGCGATCATGACACGGTATGGAATGCGCACAGAAATCACTGCAAATTCCACACCGCATCAGTGTGAACCCAGCCTTAGGAGAAGTTATGCAATGGCCTTGATGGGTGGATGTCAGTCTGGAGGTGTTGGCATTCCTAGGCAGGCTGTATTTTCATGAGGACCACCCTATGTAATGTCCACCTGTGATGCTGAGCCTCCATAATTAAAATAACAGAACTCCAATAAGTGAAAGAGGCCAGGGAGAGTCAGTCCAGGGAGGAAAGGTCTAGATGATGCTGGATGTCCTCCAGTTAGGAAATGAGGCAGAGCTCTGTCTGACTTGCTGCAGCTTCTAATGCACATTGTGAGAAGCTCACAGTGTGCGGTGAAATCAGAGGAAGCCATTTCAGTCCAGGAGAGGAGCCGGTACACCTGTGCAAGACTAAAGGGGAGGAGCCAGTACACCTGTGCAAGACTGTAGGGGAGGAGCCGGTACACCTGTGCAAGACTGGAGGGGAGGAGCCGGTACACCTGTGCAAGACTGGAGGGGAGGAGCCGGTACACCTGTGCAAGACTGGAGGGGAGGAGCCGGTACACCTGTGCAAGACTAAAGGGGAGGAGCCGGTACACACCTGTGCAAGACTGTAGGGGAGGAGCCGGTACACCTGTGCAAGACTGTAGGGGAGGAGCCGGTACACCTGTGCAAGACTAAAGGGGAGGAGCCAGTACACCTGTGCAAGACTGTAGGGGAGGAGCCGGTACACCTGTGCAAGAATGGAGGGGAGGAGCCGGTACACCTGTGCAAGACTGGAGGGGAGGAGCCGGTACACCTGTGCAAGACTAAAGGGGAGGAGCCGGTACACCTGTGCAAGACTGTAGGGGAGGAGCCGGTACACCTGTGCAAGACTGTAGGGGAAGAGCCGGTACCCCTGTGCAAGACTGTAGGGGAGGAGCCGGTACAACTGTGTAAGACTGGGGGTTGGATTTAGGATTTCTATCCAATACAGACAAAAGATAAAGGGCGCTCAGAAGGCTGTGGGCTGCTTATTTGCTGCTTTGCAATCGCTTGCTTAGTGTGATGCCCAGGTAAAGAAATGCCCGTGTGATCTCTGCTCCGGGGTCTTCTCGCCCTGAGCTCCTTGTATCCATTTTCTGGAAATCCCGATTCCCCGTCCAGCAGATCTGCTCAGACAGGCCAAGCTCTGTGTGTGTGTCTGGTCGGCAGCCAACATCTGGACAGCTCTGTTTTCTGTTGAAATCTATACTTTCCTTTGTGTGCTTCCGGCTGGAAAACTCGAGCCCCGAAAAGAAAAAGTGACATCAGCGCCAGGCCGCGTTCTGGAATTGTTGTTGGACGAGGACACAGCAGCTTTGTCTGGGACCGGTTAATGGTTTCTTTCTCAGGGAAAGTTCAAGCGGCCTGTTCCTCGGCCAATGTGGACATTGGCTCGCCGGGAGAGAGCGGGATCTTTATTGTACCGCGAGGACGGGCGCAAAGTGCAACAAACTCGTGTAACCCCAGGAGGCCATCAGACCAACACATCCAATCCCATGATGTCAGAGTTTTCTTTTTGATTTTTTTCCCAGAGCTTTAGAGTTACATAGTAGGGGTAAGCTTTGCTGCTGATCCATCACTTCTACTCCCAAAGACCAGCAGACATGCTGGTACATGTAGTCCTATAGCTGTAACTTGCAAGGTTCTGCTGGTACCTGTTCTCCCACAAGACTGGTCTTCAAGACTGGTTATCCACCTGCTGTTCAATGAGTTAGCTACACACCTAACCCAACTAAGTCATCTCCCTTTCTATTTAAGTTGGTCTCATTCTTCCACGCATTGCCTGAACAACAGCTAATGTTCTTAGCACCAGGTCCACCAGTGTTTCCTAATGTTCCTGGCCTTCTGAGAAGATTCCGAGTGACTCCAAAATTGTTACTGCCCCTAACTTTCCTAGAGGATTCCTATTGCTCAGGACTTTCTGAGAAGATTTAAATTAGCCCATGTTTCCTAGAATACCTCACTTTTCAGAAAGATTCCTGGTGACCCTGAGTTTACAAGAAGATTCTGGGTGACCTTCAATGTTTCCTAGTGTCCCTGACTCTCCAAGAAAATCTCTAGTGTCCCCGACTTTCCAAAGAGATTCCTAGTGACCTCCAGTGCTTCCAAGTGTCCCAAAATCCTTAAGACAATCACTAGTATCCCCAATTTTCAGACGATTTCAAATGACTCCCAGAGATCTTGTTGCCCTTGACTTTCCAAGAAGCCTCCTAGTATCCGTGACTTTCGAAAAAGATTCTGAATGTGACCTCTAGTGCTTCCCAGTGTCTTTGTTTTCCCAACAAGATTTGTAGTTTCTGTGACTTTCCAAGAAGATTCAAATTACCTCCAGTGCTTTGTAGTATCCCTGACTTGCTGAGAATATGATTAAACCAGTGTTTCCTATTGACTTTCCAAAAAGATTCTCAATGACTCTCCAGTGTTCCCTAGTGACCCTGAGTTTTCGAGAAGATTTTGGGTGACCCTCAATGTTTCCTAGTGTCCCCGACTTTCCCAAGAGATTCCTAGTGACCTCCAGTGCTTCCTAGTGTCCCAAAATCTTTAAGACGATCCCTAGTGTCCCCAATTTTCAGACGATTTCAAGTGACTCCCAGAGATCATGGTGCCTGTGACTTTCCAGGAAGCCTCCTAGTATCCATGACTTTCCAAAAAGATTCTGAATGTGACCTCTGGTGCTTCCCAGTGTCTTTGTTTTCCCAACAAGATTTCTAGGGTCTTTGACTTTCCAAGAAGATTCAAATTACCTCCAGGGCTTTGTAGTGTTCCTGAATTGCTGAGATTATGATTAAACCAGTGTTTCCTACTGAATTTCCCCAAAAATTCTCAATGACTCCCCAGGGTTCCCTAGTGACCCTGAGTTTTCGAGAAGATTTTGGGAGACCCTCAATGTTTCCTAGTGTCCCTGACTCTCCAAGAAAATCTCTAGTGTCCCCGACTTTCCAAAGAGATTCCTAGTGACCTCCAGTGCTTCCTAGTGTCCCAAAGTCTTTAAGACGATCCCTATTGTCCCCAATTTTCAGACTATTTCAAGTGACTCCCAGAGATCATGGTGCCTGTGACTTTCCAAGAAGCCTCCTAGTATCCATGACTTTCCAAAAAGATTCTGAATGTGACCTCTGGTGCTTCCCAGTGTCTTTGTTTTCCCAACAAGATTGGTAGTGTCTGTGACTTTCCAAGAAGATTCAGATTACCTCCAGTGCTTTGTAGTGTCCCTGACTTCCTGAGATTAAACCAGTTTCCTACTGACTTTCCAAAAAGATTCTCAATGACTCCACAGTGTTTCCTAGTGTCCCTGAATTTCCGAGAAGATTTTGAATGACTCCAAATGTTTTCTAGTGTCTAGCGTTCTAAGTTTCCAAGTGACCCTATGATTCCTAGTATCCCTGACTCTCCGAGAACATTCTGAGTGACCTACAGTGCTTCCTAGTGTCTCTGACTTTCTGAGAAGATGACCCCCCCCTACCCACTGTTTCCTAGTGTCTGTGACTATCCATGAAGAGTTTGAGTGACCCACAATTGCTAATGCCTCTGACTTTCTTAGAGGATTCCTATTGTTTGTGACTTTCTGAGGAAATTTAAATTAGCCCCGTTTCCTAGAGTACTTCACTTTCCAAAAGATTCCTAGTGTCCCTGATTTTCTGAGAAGATTCTGGGTGACCCCATGATTCCTAGAGTCTCTGACTTTCCAAGAAGATTTCTAGTGATCATGACTTTACAAAAGATTTTGAGTGACATCCAGTGCTTCCTAGTGTCTATCACTGTCCAAGAAGATTCTTGGTGTCCACAGCTTCCCAAGAAAATTCAATAAACCTCCTGAGCTTTGTAGTGTACCCGACTTTCCAAGATGATTCCTAGTGTCCCTGACTTTCAGACATGACTTTGATTAAGCCTGTGTTTCCTAGTGTCCCTGATTTTACAAGAAGCTTCAGAGTGACCCTCAGTGCTTCCTATTGTCCCAAACTCTCTAAGAAGATTTCAAGTGACCCTACAATTGCTACTGCCCCCGACTTTCTGAGAGAATTTATAGTGTATGTTGTTTTCCTGGGAAGATGCCGATTAACCCAGTATTTCCTGGTGTCACTGACTTTCCAAAAATATTCCTAGTCACCCCCAGTGTTTTCTAGTATCCCCGACCTACTGAGAAGATTCTAGGTGACTCCCAGCATTTCCTAGTGTCACTGACTTTCCAAAAATATTCTTAGTCACCCCCAGTGTTTTCTAGTATCCCCGACCTACTGAGAAGATTCTAGGTGACTCCCAGCATTTCCTAGTGTCACTGACTTTCCGAAAACATTCCTAGTGACCCCCAGTGTTTTCTAGTGTCACTGACTTTCCAAAAACATTCCTAGTGACCCCCAGTGTTTTCTAGCATCCTTGACTTTATGAGAAGATTCTAGGTGACTCCCAGCATTTCCTAGTGTCACTGACTTTCCAAAAACATTCCTAGTGACCCCCAGTGTTTTCTAGTGTCACTGACTTTCCAAAAACATTCCTAGTGACCCCCAGTGTTTTCTAGCATCCTTGACTTTATGAGAAGATTCTGGGTGACCCCCAGTATTTTCTAGTGCCCCTGCCTTTCCAAAATTCTGAATGACCCTACAATTCCTAGGGTCCCCCATTTTCTTAGTAGATTCCAAAGGACCCCCAATGTCTGCTCCTGCTGGCTCCTCCAGGCTGTCATACTGATCAATGCAGCCTCTCCTCCTGAGCTCCAAAGGTTGCAGGTCCTCTGATGTCATCAAGGTGCAGGTCCTCTGATGTCATCAAGGTGCAGGTCCTCTGATATCATCAAGGTGCAGGTCCTCTGATGTCATCAAGGTGCAGGTCCTCTGATGTCATCAAGGTGCAGGTCCTCTGATGTCATCAAGGTGCAGGTCCTCTGATGTCATCAAGGTGCAGGTCCTCTGATGTCATCAAGGTGCAGGTCCTCTGATGTCATCAGGGTGCAGGTCCTCTGATGTCATCAGGGTGCAGGTCCTCTGATATCATCAAGGCCAATAAACTTCCTTACCCTTTAAGAACATAAGGATGACAAGTAACAGTCCACGTCCAAGGAGGGTGGAGGACCAGGTACATAAAAGTGCTTTTTGTGGCCCCCCCTAAACCTAAACAAGCATTTACTTCCTGCAGTGTGGGGGGGGGGGGGGCAGACCCCTTGCAAGAGAGCATTATTTATTTCCCTGGAGATAGGCTTTAGGTAATGAAACAATAAAGTTTTTATCCCCTTCATGACCAGGGCATTTTTTGCTATTCACCACTGTGCTACTTTAGCTGGCAATTGCACGGTCATGCAACACTATACCCTAATTAAATTGATGTAATTTTTTTTACACAAATAGAGCTTTATTTCGGTGTTATTTGATCACCACTGGGTTTTTAATTTTTTTACCATATAAACAAAAAAAAAAAATACAGAAAATGTTGAAAAAGCAAAACGTAGACAGTCCAAAGTATTTAGTAAGAGGCATGGCAAGTTTTTGGAAGTTGTAATTTTTTGTAAAAAATTTTCGGGACATTGAAGAAAATAAATAAAATTTGTGTTTTGTTCACAATTTTATTTTTACATACTGTCACCAGAGCAGTACAGCGTCATCATATGTCTGGTGTGGCGGTGGTCAGGGATACTAACTAATGACAGTATGTAGACAAAAGAAAAATACTAATTTTTTTAATACATTTCTAAAACTTTTTTTTTTTTTTTACTATTTTTTTCAAAATGTCCTCGTGGGGACACTGTACTGCTCCAGGGGCAATTTGGGATTTTATTTTGTTATACTGTTATTGCTTATACAGTGATGGTCACTGTTAAAAGCAATAGTTTTACCTGTCATGAATGGCTTTCATTCATGAGACGGCTTGCTTACTATTGTGATGCTGTGATTGGCTACAGCTAAT